AGCACATATCAATATAATGTTCTTGATGCTTATCAAGACTGTCGTGATCATTGAGTAATGATCTTTCGAAGAGCCGCTAGAGCTCATTACTGCCCTCGTAGCGCGTATGTATTCTGGTTTGCTGTTTCATGCTTTCGCCCTTCATCTTCACGATTCCGAGCGCAGAACGGACCACGGTTATGATCATGATATGAAAATTAATAGAATAAAATATGAATATTGCATAATGATGTTAATGCTTGCAGTAGTTGAGGAGAATTATGATGGGCCACATTTGGATGAAGTAATTACTGTCGATTTTGTCAATGAAATGATTGCAACTTTCAAAAAGCAGGGAAAGCTGCACAGAAAATATGCATTTAAGGTACATTTCACATACTTTTCTCAATGGGCCAATTACATTTTGCTGTGTTACAGATTTTGCTGGACATATACGCGTACTTCAAAGAGCAACCAACGTTGGTTGAGATTGATGTGCCTCCTAAGAAACGTTTTACCATTTGTGGTGATATACATGGTCAATTCTACGATCTCTGTAATATATTTGATATTAACGGATTTCCATCAGAAACCAACCCATATGTAAGTTTTATTGCAAGTAGTCGCGTTTGTAATTAAAGTTTAAGAGAACTCCGATTGTTATCCGACCCTTGATGGAACGAGTGCAGACAGCCGGGTACGGGTCGTTAGGAAAGAAGGCGACTTCTTCGCGTTTCCAATGCGAAATTCTCATTGCGCAAACCCCAGGTCCACCACTGATCATTAGTGGTTCTGAGATTTCCGCATAGAAAAAGTTCCGCGCTGTGAAGAGCGAAAAAAGTCGTCTTCTGTCTTAGCGACCCACACCCCACTTAGCATTTGTGAGAAGTGTAGTGAAAATCAGCACGGTGTAGCTCGAAGCAACACACCCAGGTCAAATTTGTGGGGTCACAGCGTTGATAATGGAGTTTTGGATGCCGAGTTGACCAAAAATGAAAAAGAAGCAAAGGAAACCGTCAATGAAGCTAACGGTATTCCCTATCCTTTTCTTTAAAATAATGAAGGAGCGGGGTTGGACCAGTTTTAACTCGTTTACTTGCTTGCCCATGGCTACTCTAACCCGCGCGTATTTGAATTAGCTGCTACGCCGTAATCCACGTTGCGTGTCATGGGGGTGCGCGAGTATCTCGTCCATAAGTTGAGATTAGTCGCCATAAGCCACTTTGTAAAGCCCTAGCGCCATTCGCGCACTTTCGAGCCGCGGCAACGGCACATCAGTGATACTCGTGGGCCACTCTATTCTACCCACAGAACAGATTCTATATAGGTTATGAATGAGTCCTCATGAAGAATGGGTGTGGTTCACTAGGACAGAAAGCGACTTTTTCGCGTTTCGCAGCGCGAAACATTGTTCGTTGCGGGAATCTCGGGTCCACTGATGATTCGCTGCGGGAACATCAGGTCCACTGCGGTGGACTTGAGGTTCCCTGCAGCAAAGGCCATCAATAATTCCCTGAAGATCTTGCACAGATGCAGTTCAGGGTAGCTTAATTCTATCATAACTTGTTCTCCGTTTAAATCTAACAGCACATCTGTTTCAGCTTTTCAACGGTGACTTTGTTGATCGCGGCTCCTTCAGTGTTGAAACCATTTTCACAATGTTTAGTTATAAGCTACTCTATCCTAACCATTTCTTTTTATCGCGCGGAAATCACGAAAGTGACGTAATGAATAAGGTGAGTGGAAACGTTAAAGATCATGTTGTTGGAACACAGTGTGTGGCGAGCTGCTGTTCCTTTTTATCTGAGTGCTCCTCTGCTCTATCTGTTTTCCAGATGTACGGCTTCGAAGGGGAAGTAAGAAAGAAGTACACGGCTCAAATGGCTGATTTTTTCACTGAGATCTTCTGTTTGCTTCCTCTGTGCCATCTTATCAATAGGAAAATTTTCGTGAGTTTTCCCCCTCTGTTTTGTTGCCAAAGTTGTAATTTTGTGCAACCAAAAGACAGCACTGAGCACAGTAGTCGTACGTGATTGCGCAAACTGGCTTCGAATTACGTGGAGATTTGGCAAATCTCCTTGTAATTAGTAATTAATTGAGGAGTGACTGATAGTGTTTGGGTTTATGGTTGTGATTAGGCCGTGTAAATAGATACGGACATCAGGGAAGAAAGACAATGGTAAAATTGAATAGAAGAGATCGTCTGGAACTGTTTGACATGGACCGAACTGCAGTGAAGGGGTGGAGAATAACAGCGTCATCTATGAGATAAAAATGCAATGTTCAGATAAGGAGCAATAGCATTATCAACATCAAAAGTTTCTCGCGCTGGATCCCTTGTTGAAAGCTCCCTACAGCACCCTCCCAAAACTCGCTCTCTTTTGTGATAGTCTTTGTGCGATGTAGAGCACAAATTGAAGCTGGGAGCTTCATAACCTGCGTTGCAGTGGTGGTTTTTTTTATGGAAATGTGTCTGAAAATCTTCCATGTATCTGCAGTTGTTGGTAGGGGCCAAAATAAATATGAAATGGCATTCCCTCGGGTGCAAACTTGCCTTTTTCCTTCAGCTTTCAGTGCAGGATGGTAAGGTTGTAATTTGTCAAAAGAACGGAGGAAACCAATTCCTAATTGAACTTTTGTCAGGTATGCCACGGAGGCTTGTTCAAGGAAGACGGTGTAACTTTGGACGATATTCGAAAGACAGATAGAGTACGTCAACCTCCGGATGAAGGGATCATGTGCGATTTGCTATGGTGGGTGGCCACAAAATTGTCCTATTTCAAAAATTGTTCTGTCGTAGTAAAGCGACGAAGTAAGAAAAAGAATGTGTATTAGTTCGATTGTCGCTCCGCCGTGCACTGATTAAGCCGAGTAATACGACTAGTCTAAATTCCAGAGGGACAACAGAAACTCCATTTCCAAACTGCTGCGAAAGCGTAATCGTAGAGCTACTGATTCAGGTCAGATCCGCAAGAATTGCGAGGTCGTGCACCATCGAAACGTGGGGTAGGATGTCAGTTTGGGCCAGACATTACTGATGCTTGGATTGCAAAGAATGGTGTTCAGTACGTCGTGAGGTGAAAATTTAGTGGTTTTGGCTAAGCATTATGTATGTACATAAATGTGTTTACAGAAGCCACGAAGTAAAACCGGAAGGTTATGAGGTGCACCACAACGGCAAATGCATAACGGTAAGAAAAATTTTAACACCTCAAGAACTAATGTGAGCACAGTCATTTTATACGTCCAGATAGACTTTGGCTCAGGAGCGATGGGCTATGTTTAAAGTGCAAATGATGCATCGGGTTTGCACGCGTCCGCTCATCTCTTATCACCTCTTTTTTCTCACTATTCTTTCTCTCATCACTTCGTGCTTATCGAGTTTTGCAAAAGGGGCTGCTTCTCTTATCATGTGTGTTAGCGCAAGCATGCGAATAATTTTGATATTTACGACGGATTCCTCGGTATAATGACACTTTCTGTGGATTTCACAAGGCAAGGCAGAACATTCATATCATGTTGCAGGTGTTTTCCGCTCCGAATTATTGTGATCAGATGGGAAATAAGGGAGCATTCATTACAATTACTGGAGATAATCTCACGGTGAGTCGTTTGTATGGTTCAGTTAGGCCCTTTTCACCTTTTCGGTGTTTCAATCTCGTCATTTGATGTCGCTCACGCTACTATCTTCAGCCGAAATTCACTTCATTTGAAGCTGTTCCACATCCAATGGTTCCACCAATGGTTTATGCAAATAGCCTCTTCGGGTTTTCTTGATGAATAGGAGATGTTGTTAGCGCATATTCGTTTGTTTGTTACTTGTTTGTTTACGCTCACGTCCTTCGTTGATTGTATCATTGATATCAGAAACGATATTAGTCCTCACATGATCAGAGTCATTCTAATCATGTCATGTATAACCATCTCGTTCAGGGTTAACCATACCTGAAGCCTCATATGTATGGAGAAAGTTATTGTTGTTGTTTCATTTCATTGAATAACGTACTGCTGAATCAGCTATGATAACCACTATATTGAGGCACTAGCAGCCATTATTTTACATACAATATTGTCGTTACTATGAAGAATTTGAAGTTCTCAGTACCTTCAACTAAGAATACACAGTAGGAGTCGCGCACCAAGTCACTTTCTTGTCACAGTTGTTGAGCTAATGCAACTCGAATCAGGAGTTGAATTTGAACAGCTAAGGGTTGCTGACAGTTACGGTCAATTGCTCTTGGGGTGCGTGACTATTCAATCGTGGCAGTAAGTAGGTCGCCGCGCCGGCCGCCGCAGCCAGCAATATCGCGGCGAATTTGCAAAGAACTCAGCATCCAAACATTGGGGAATGTAAGATTAGATGAAGTTTTCAGTCATGAAACATGGAATAGGAATCACCTAACCCTTTGAAATGCAGTTTCGTTTTCGCTTGCCATTATTACATACTTATCATATCATGCTTATGTTAGAGCCTTCCTCACCGTTACTCTGTGTCTTGATACGCAATATTCTTTCCGATTGAACCAGATTATCACTCTCTGATAGAAATTCAGGAAACTGATTAATAAAGAAGTCAAATTAAATCCAAAAGGACAACCTTTACACGGTACAAGTTTGTACTGCGAGGCTTAAATCACTGCAGGGATCTTACAGTGACGCTTGCTGGCTTACTGATGTCCAGCACTCTGGTGTTATCAGTCACCTAGCCAACTTATGGACATGGATGGCTAAGAAAAGGTCCACACAGAAATCGCCGCAGCAACTGCCGCGCGCGCGACGATTCTCGCCGCGTGAGCGGCGTGACCTCATTAGCCGACGATTGAATTGACCGTCTCCCATGGCTCTTGACGTACGTCGTCTATGGCCGCGGGTACTTGCAGTTTGAAACTGCAGCAGCTGGAAATTTGACCAGCAACGCATGGGTTGCTCCCGGAATTTGTGCTAGTAATGCCCTTGAGCGCCCAAAAGGGTCTGCGATTACTGCACCAGCGGGCGATGTTTTTACGCTCCTGATGCTGTTTGCTCCCTCATCTGTCCTAGGTTGCAGATAGGAACGTTTGGGAAATAGGGTGAGTGTACTAGTAGAGTGTTCCTTCCGTATGTTTTGCGTTTTGGTAGGCTGGAAAATTAGATTAATTAGGTTGGAATATATAATAGCTAACAATTTAATGATGTGGCTTGAAATTTGCGACAGTCAATCTTAACAAAGGGATTGCATTCTTTTATTTTTCAAAGTCTGGAAAAGTGATCAATCCTTGTCGATGTGGAAAGTGTGAACGTGACGGAAGGACGAAGAATTTGGCATCGATCAGTACTTGTCGACGCACCGCATATTTTACCTTTACTCGCAGTCGTGGTAGCATTGGTACTCTCTATTTTGGAAGACGGGAAGAGCGTCGAGTGCAGACCACACGTCACAAGTGACGACTACCAAGGAAAAATGCTACTTTCTGGCGAGCAATGGGGCTCGAGAGGGGGCCAGTCGCCGCGCGCGATCTCTGCTCGTCCGCGCCCTGTAGTACTAAGCCTAGGAGTGGGCAGGAACTTTGGGAAGATGAAAATTGCTATGATCCTGGAGTTCCTCCTCCCCTGCCCGAGGCTTAGTCCCGATTTAGCGAAGAGGAAATGCTTACACAGAAAAACGCAGAGATCGCACGCTATGACTGGCCGCCCTCAACCCACATTGCGCCTCACTTTCTTCTCGCCCGGTCGTCACTTGTGGTCTGTGGTCTGCACTCGATGCTCTTCTCGTCTTTTCCGAAATAGACGGTAGCATTTTGAATGCAATTGGGGCTACACACTCCTTACAGGCGTGTCGATTTACAGCCATGTGCTTTCAATCCTCCGGGTGGCTTGATTGGCTTGGGGATAAGTATGGAAAATATTGGGCTGCCTCGTACATAATTCCTTGTTTGTGTTTGAGTCATCCTGTGATTAATCGATAGGGCAAATTAGCGGTGTTCAGAGTACAATCAGTGTAGGCCTAAATGCATGCCTTGGTAAAGCAACGCGAACTCGCAGGAGAGCATAGTGAGGCCGAAAGGCGCCAAGACGGCGTCAGGTGCTGTCCAGAGAAAGTGGGAGTACAGGAAAAGGCATCGCGAACGAAGAGATCAACCCTTAAAGGAACGACCCGAAGACGGATAAGCCTGTAGTAACATTGATATCATATCGGTCGGCGCTTCAGGTGAAGGCAGGTCGCATTTTGTTGTTGGAGCGGCGGGATGAACATCCCGCCTATAGTATCCTTGAATTCGGCAGGAACACGCCTCAGGCACCCCTTAGTGATGCTAATCAGTCCGGCGACCCTCTCTACCAAGTACGGTGCCAGACACACCCACTGACCTCTCCGGCAGTAACTGTAGGGCAGTCGACGGTAAGTATTCCAGTGAATTACGGTAGGGATCAGGGAAAAGTAAGCAGGCTGTAAGTGGATGAAGCGCTGTGTGAGTGTCCAGGATGGTCACTACGGAGGGATGTTACGGGAGGGCAGGGTGAATAACGGTCGAGGAAATTTCTCGACAGGGGGTAGTATTTGCTCCGATGAGAGTTGGGAGGGGGTCGTAATCAAAAGGTTCATCAACGGACACAACGGTGCTGCTGCCACTTATTTGCTGTCATCATTACTTTCACAAGTGTTGTAGTTAGCCTAATGCAAATAATATCTTACAACTGTCTGGAATTAAAATTAAATGGAAAGTGGTTGTTGGTTTGGTTCGTAGTGATCAGTATGGCATAGGAAGGCAACGCGTCCTGCAAAAGAATCGTAGGGAAAGGGCAGCGAGTATCTACTCTAGAATGATGTACATGCTTCGAGAACTTAGTGGAGGAACAGCATCTTGGTAGAAAGTTCAAAACAGGCAGCTTCTCTTGGCATCATCAGATCCTGCAACCGCAAGCGTGTCATTCATCAGAACGGGTTGGAAAGGAAGCGATTTGAATAAAGGAATGATCAGACATCACTATGACCACAAAAGTTATTCCTAATTAGTTAATACTGGAAATATCTTTTGGTGTGATTAAGCAAGTCGTCACTAGGACAAAATACCTCGCTCAGTAATCCGATGTTCAACTGCATACAAGAATGGAATGGATCCTGCGCCAAGTGCATCATTTTCAATTTACTCCATCGAACTGACGTGTACAGAAGCATTTTGAAGGTGTTCAAAGAAGTTCCCTACTACGGCGAGGGAGTAATAGAGTTTTCGAGTGGCTTCGAAAATTTCCTTGACATTTCCTCGACGCAGATTTCTCGCGAACTAGAAAGCGTTCGAAACAACTGGAGCACCTATCAAAAGCGTAAATCTTCTACTTTACAACGCTTTCCTCCGATTTTCAAAGCATTGCCAATGAAGACAGCTACTGTCTTCCAAAGAGTGGGAACTCGCATGTAAATTTCAATTTCCTCGACAATTTCTCGACGTCTCCCACTCTCGAGAATAGGCGTGCTTAGAAAAACGCTCAGCACAATTTAGAAACTAGAAGTCTTGTGCATTCAAAAGCTGCCTTCACTTTCTGAAATGGTTATCAATGAAGAAAGTTATAGTCCTTTAAATAGGGGGTACATTTGACGATTTTTCCAACTAGCGCGCTCTAGGCACAGCGCGCGACGCGATCGCGGGTAGTTAGCGCCGCTATACTGGAGCGCGAGACTGTTCAACTGTGTTGGGGTAGGAGGCAGTACCTCCTTCAATGTTCTACTTTCCGGCCAATGTGGCAAAGGTTAAATGTCTTTAAAGGAAAGAAGGAGAACCTAATCTGAGCAGAATTGAATCTAGCATTTGGATCAAGCCGCATTTGCGTGGCAGCGGCGCTGCGTCCCTCTCGCACATCTGAAACTAGCATTTTTTGATATGAAACCGGATGTGCAGAGGACAAAAAGGGGTCGTATCAGAGTCCATGTTTTGGAGGGGGGTCGTAAAGAGGCGGTTATTTCCTCGACACGATTTTCACCCTGCGGGAGGGTCGCTAGGATGGGGTTTAGGGCGACGGTGCTGTTGGAAGAAAGAAGGACTCCAAAGATGTGTTGGATAAAGAAGATTACGAAGGATGTGATACAATGGTGTAAAAAGGGTGTAGAAGTGAAAATAAACATTTATACATCCAGTCTCCTACGTCTCCGAAGTTATAGACGTTGAGAAGAATTAATCGTAACCTTACCGAGCCAAATTCGGCTCCACAGTCCAAGCAGGCTCTCTGCTGGTTTGCGCTCTCTCAGCGATATGGCGTACTTTCTGGCGTGTGTTCGTGTATAGTGGTCCAATTCAGGTTTGAAATTTTCCTAACGCGTTTGTACGAGTGTGAGTTCCGTGAAGTTTCAAGTTAGCTCCCGGCTTCATTCAATCCAAATCCTAGTTACCATTGTACTTTTTTTCGTTGTAAATTCTGCTTGGTCTGTCCAAACTTCTATCAAGTGCGACGGTCGCCACGTCGAACCTATAGACACACCTAATCAGACTTTGAGATATATTTCATATTTCATATTTATTACATGCCCACGAGGAACATGTGAAAAAAAAAACATCTAAACAAAACGCAATCACATGTTAGTACTTAATGCACTAGTAGTGATTCCCTAGAAGAACCTGAAACAATATACAGTCGATATCCGGAAAGTTGGGGTAGGCGTGTCACCGGAAGTGACGTGCACTTGATAGAAGTTGCGTGGATAAGCTGTTGCCAGCATGCTTTGCTGATATCCAGCGATGTATGTTGGAAGCAGCTTATCCACATAGTTTCTATCAAGTGCACGTCACTTCCGGTGACACGCCTACCCC